TTCTTTACATAGACTTTCTTTGCCCGGGCATACAGTCCTCTCATATGTAATCTTCGGCGAACAGTAGCTGCAGATATCGCCTTACCAATGGATGTTGTAACCATTGATGTCACACGTGTGGAGGTCGCTCTGAGATTCCACTTGGCTACAATAGCAATATATTGATCTTCCACGGGGGTTGTAAACCTTGGGCGACCGGCTATGGGCCTTCGGACAACTGTCTGCGTGGTTTGGAATTGTTTCCATAAATGAGAAATTACAGAATGATGAACGCCAAAGAAACGAGCAACATCTGTGATCGACTGTCCTGCTTCAATGTACCTCACAGCACGGCAGCGCTCAGAATCCTCCATTTGTCTTCTGGAAGTTATAGAAACACATATGTCTCGAATACAAATTGTACAAGAGTTTTAAACACCTTCTATCAGCACTTACAATCAACTTCTGTAACCCTTCATAAAGCTGGTTTCTTATAAGACTGCCTTTTTTGCATATTTCTTGACATGAAAGCGCGATTGGCTGTTACCTAACATATTTGCATCCTCTTCAATTCTGATTGGCTTCCGGAATTAGCATTTTTCTCTCCGTGCTTAACTTTTGGAAGTGAGTGTATTATCAAACATGAAATAAGAAATATTATTTGTTATCACTTCAAGAACTTACATACTTGGTTAGCTCTGGATGAAATTTAGAACAGTTTCAGTGAATTTTAAAATATCTTTCTAGATATAAATGAAACTTTTAAATTAGAAACCTGAACCACTTATCTTAAATACTCTTTTTCACAATTTCTACATTTGTACCAAGAGATTAATGGCATTCCAAAGGGATCCTACTACACTGCCATTTGCAACTTCTTCCTCTTGCTCAAAGAATTTTATTTCATCAACAAATTTTAGTGTCCTGAAGTGTTAAATTTATTTCCGGATACTCTGACACTACCATTGCCAATAATAATAACCAATTTACCCTAACTGTATAAAATTAACAGAAATAATGATGAAGATAAAGAAGCAGAATATTCAGACATAAAAATCTTCAACCTTGAGCAAAATGACACTATCAATGCCATTAATAATAACCAATTTTACCTACCTAAAATTACACAGAACTAATGATTAAAATACAGAACAGAATATTCAGACATAAAAAAGTTCAATCTTCAGAAAATTAAAATCTTTGACAAAAGATGATGATTCAATTTCAAAACCATTAAACTAGTAAACTAGTACTCAAACATGTCCAAAAAATTTATTGTAAACACTGTAATTAAACAGCAAGAATCGAAAAATCTGTATTCATAATGAAGAATTACTTATGGAAATGAAAGTCTTAATTTGTATTCATAATGAAGAATTACTTATGGAAGTGAAAGTCTTAATTAATGAACTTAAGAATAATAAAATTTCTCTTTCCTTCATTAAAAAAAAAAAAAAAAAAAAAAAAAAAAAAAAAACTAAATTATAGATGTAATTTGATATACCACTATTAAACCATTCATTTGGTTGAAAGGTTAGGCTTGAATCTTAATTATGAGGTGTAAATTAGATTTCTAATCACAGGTGAATTAAATTCATGCTTTCAAATTTTCACAAGTACGAAACCTCAGTAATTTAACACATACATCTTTCATTAACTATTGGGTTCATTTTAATTTCAAGCTTTCAGCCCCCTTCAAAGATGAATTTCATTCGTTTTAATCTATTTCCTCTTGACTTCCACTACTATCCACTTCTGTTAAAATACTAACTGCAACCAGAGTTATTTAAGCAGCAGATCTGCTCGCAGATGTGCTGAGGAAGTTTTCAATCGTCAACCTTGCCTTGAGAAGAGGAGGAGAGTCTCTCAAGCTACATGCTACAACTAACATGCATGGTCTACAGGAGGGTAACACACTTTCCAATCATGAAAGAACTTCACAACAAAATACGCAAGAATCTGGTCAGACAAGTTCCGGCCAGCAGTGATACTTTAACAAATACAATAGTTCATAGCTTAGAAAACCAAGTTCTTTGAAACCAATATGTGCTTCCTAATAATATTTTGACACTTTAACGGTAAATTACACTTAAAAGTTATACGTTCAATGAAACATGTTTCTAGTGCCATATACAGTAAACATTGTTAAACACAAATGGCAGAGAAAAATAGCAGTAAATATGGGGTGAAACACCAGACATCTCCAATTTTTCAAAATCAACTTTATCATCATTGATTGCATTCCTTGGAGGTAAATGCTAACTTTTCAGAATACAAATATACGAGGGCCATCCAGGAAGTAGATTACGTTTCCGTCTGTGTCCGCTAGGGGCGGGGCTAGAGCGGCCATCTTGGGGTCAGAGCGTTGCGCAGCTCAGTCTGCATCTAGCCGTGCTAGTGAGAGGTTCGTGCTGTGCTCCGTTCAGATACTGTGACGGTTTGAAATGTCTGCGTTAATTGAAAATCCCGCGAGCTGCGAGGTGCGCTCAGTAATAAGGTTTCTGACTGCAAAAAACTGTAAACCGATAGAAATCTATCGGCAGCTTCGTGAAGTGTATGGGGACAACATTATCACTGAAGGTGGAGTGCGTCAGTGGGTCATAAGATTTCAAAATGGCCGAACCAATGTTCACGACGAAGATCGAAGTGGGGGAGACCCAGCATAGTGACCGCCGAACTTCTCGAAAAAGTCGATGCTAAAGTCCGTGAAAATCGAAATTTCACAATAACGGAACTTCTTTGAGTTTTCCACAAATTTCGCGAAGTTTGTTGCACGAAATCATCAGCGAAAAGCTTGGTTACCACAAGTTTTGTGCAAGATGGAAGGCAAGAAGAGGTAACGAAGTGGTTGAAGGCGCAGGCGGCCGAATTTTTCGACGAAGGAATTTCCAAGCTCATACATCGCTACGATAAATGCCTTAATTTGTATGGTGACTATGTAGAAAAGTAGTATTTGAGTGTGGCTTTCATCTGTATATAATAAAATTTGTTTCCTATACTTTATTTTTTTATTCCAAAACGTAATCTACTTTCTGGATAGCCCTCGTATAATCTTAATGAAATGCGTGCAAAAATAAGGACCTATAAAATATGTGAAATAAATCCAAATTAAAAGGCATTTTAATTTGCCAGCCTTTCAAAATTTCCTTGAAAACTGCTAAACCATCCTAATATAGAAACATAAACATTCCAAAGCATTATAAAAACATTTTACTGCACATCTCAAGTGAATTTTTTCTATTTTAAGTTAGTGGTGAACACTAATGTTGAAAATGTATTGCAAAAGGATGTTTGGAAATTTAAACTTACTACTTAATACATTTTATAAATTAATTTTTAATGTGTGAAAATTACACATATTTAAAAAATAAATTCATAAAATACCTAATCTGTATCAAGTATTTCTCTGATGTCATTTATGGCTCAGTAATTTTAACCCTACACTGCATGATGTTGCAATTTGATTAGTCTATCAACACAGATTACTTTTCAATCCTGAGTAGTGAAAGAAAGTTTTTAGTTTATCAAAGTACTTTTAAATACGATGAAAATACATTTACTAATTAATGTACACATCATTTGCAATAATAAATTTAGTGAAGAATATATTAAAGTAAAATGTAATACAAATATTAAGTCATTAAACACTGCTTGAACCTTCATATAAAAATCAACTAATGCCTAGAATACATTTAGATAACTCATATTAAATGAAATTTAATACAGAAAAGTTAATAAGATTAATAAAATGTAATAATAAAAATATAACTCCGATGAAACCAAATTTAATTAAAAAATTATTCTGAAGATCATTAGAGGTGAGGGGGTGAACGGAATTCCTAATTTAAGTTTCCCTAATTCAATAAATTTCCCTTTTTGCTTGGAATTACTTTCCTTAGTCATTCTTTAAAAGGCAAAAAAATTAAAAACCAAGAGATTGAATGATCTATCATTAGACCAGGGGATATGATGAAAAACCAGCAGCATCCCACAAAAACTGGCTAGAGTTGGCAGCTATGGAATCAGATGAGTAGGTTTCTGTGAGAAAGCTGCGACAAAATCATATGCCTAATACCTACCCTGGAATTAACGGATGCAGCAACCATCAAGCATAGATGGTACGTAAAATTAAGATACAATACCACACCGAATAAGTATTAATTAAACAACAAATCTCATTTCATCAACAGATAGCATCAGTAGACTAACTCCTCAGTCTTCCTTATCTTATCTAATTAGTATACCTTATTTTGTTCATGTGCACTTTTGCAGCTGAGAATGATGGTTCAGTAAAACCATCGAAACTAGTCCTATGAAAATTTGAAAATATAACGCTAAGTTATGTTGTTTGATTAATACATGGTTAGTCAGTCAAATACCGGATATCCGCCGACCTGAAATTGCGTCTCAAAATATAATCACTTAGTTTATAGGTTCCGGAAACCACAACATGGAGTACGAAATATCGAAGAAAAAATACTTACTGGATAATGACGTCATAATTACCGAATAATAATGAGTCATAACGGAAATACCAAATTATTGACATCCTGATAACAGTTTTTTCCCCCTCCAATCTGTGTCGAGGTAAAAAAGCAGACGATTCACTCAACTTTTCTTTCAAGTTCACGCTTCACGTTGCTGTACTTTCTGAACTTTGTTATTTCAAGAGATTGTTTAGTGATGTCGGTTTTTTTTTTTTTTTTTTTTTAATCCAGATATTTTGTGGATAAATTAAGAATATTTTAAATTTCAGCGCTTTTTAATACAACAGACAGATAAGAAACACACCCGTGATTTTATTGCTTGCAATGTTGGAAAACGTAAACACGTTGCATTGATGGTAATGAAAAAAGTAGAAATTCTGCTAAAGATGGAGGCACATGCTACTGCTCGGTTTATAGCAGAATCATATGGAATTGCCACACGAACTGTGTATGATATACGGAATAATAAAGAAAAGCCGTTGAAATTTTACAGCAACAGTGATTCTGACACCAGAATCTGAAATCGAAAATCTTTCACGAGGCAAAATCGGCAAACCTTGATGCTGTCTTGTACGAGTAGTACTGGCAGCGGTAGAGTGATGGGGTACCTATTTCAGGACTACTCCTGAGAGAAAAGGGGAAGCAGATTCATGCTGTTTAAAAATAGAGGAGCCTAATTTAAATGAACAATGTTTTTATATGTAATAATAATTTAATGCATATAATTAATTATTGTATTAATTATACACCTTATTTATTTTACATTTTTAGTCTGAATATTATCTTTTCTGTCCTGAAATCCGCACAACCTCTGGTCCCAAGCTTTGCGGATTTCTGGACTTCTACTGTACTCAGTAATTAATAAATATTTCAAGAGAGAACTTTTTGCAGTGCATGTAATAAGATTTTGCTTGATATGATTCTCAATTTCGAAGAAGTTATGGAGAAAGAAGAGCACTGGAATTAATTAACAACTATGAGACACAACTGCAATGAACTGGCCAAAGACAAATTCAAACAAAATCTGATTAATAGTTTGAAAGCGGAAATCTTTTCAAAACTGACCGAACTCAATTTTTACGTGTTTATCGTGGAGAAGTTTCTGTAGACGTCCAGCGGAGTTTCTCAGAACATTACCTCAGCTCAAAGTACTAGAAATATATGCTCCAAAACACAGAAATATTGAGCATAATCCAGAACCATGTTTTTTAAAATCTACTAAATGCCTTTTCTAGTTCCAAAATTAATAATTTACATTATCCATTTCAGCATGTTGTTTTGACTCATTCAATAATGAATAAAGAAGATAAATGTTAAGTTTTTAGAAATTGAATAAATGTATTTTATTCAGTTTATATCTCTTTCTGTACACCTTTTAAACAATAAACTTGAACCTTAAAATTCCTTCTCTACTTATGAAAAACAGGCTATAACTAAAACTGCATGTAAGGAAAGTCATGTAAAAAATTCCAAGGCATTTAAAATGCACATCTTCTAATTTAAAACAGAAAAATGTTGGAGGCCTTCACATCATACAGCAATTTAAGAGGACTCAATTGGCTTAAAGTTAATTTATAATGCATAATTTGGATAATTAACCCTCTGGCTATATATATATATATATGGCAAAAAATATGTTTTGCAATGTCTTCAAGAAAGCACATATACATGCATCTTGAAATGTCTAAGAAATTAAGAGAATACATTAAAAGTATATAAATCCAGGTAATAAAGTACCAGAAACATTCTGGCATTAAAATCACGAAACTATCTCTTTCTCATGACAGTTTTGAGAAAATTGGTCTTTCTCAGCAAAATCATGTGCCAGTCAGAGGGTTAAGCTAGAAACAAAACAATTCTGGGATGAACTTATTAATCTAATATTTATTTAACAACTGTAAATTCAATTACATGCTTTCTTGGTATATTTTTCAATTTTATTTTCTTAAAATTTCATATTGTTTGAAACCTAAGCAGGAAAGAAAAGCTTTTATTTATCAAACCTCTTTTGCGTATGGTTAAAAAAGCTGATAATTAACCGCATATAATCATGTGAATAAATTTAGTAATGTATTAGATTAAATTAAAAATTAATCAGGAAAATTTTGTCGAAATTCACTTGGAAATAAGGTGGAATTTGAAAAATTTTAAATTTTGTTATTAAATGATAACATAATTGTGTTACCTTTTTTTAAGAACTAGTCATTAAATTTTCTTTCCTTCTTAAACTTAGTGATCAATAGATCTTCCAGAACTATACTTGAAAGAAATGATCTAAATTCAGGTAACCTAAAAAGTCAGATTTATCAGGAGATGAGATGAAAACATGAGTCTCCCAGCAAAACTACAATAGTTGACAGCTCAGTAAATGTTTGGCCAGAGTCATATTTTGGATGTAACTATCTACACTGAGAGTTTTATCTATTTAACCATAAGTGGGCTGTATTTTTTACATTATAAAACATTTTCACTTCACTAAACAAAAGCAAACTAGATATAGAATATAACTTTCAATATTTTGTGTAGTATGCTACATTGCATGTCATAAAACTAATAAATTTTAAATATGTTAAGCAATGTATCATATGTTAATAAGTAAAAAGATCTCTTTCAACTTACCCCCCACACCAATGAGAATGCTCACCATAACTGATATTTATCACATCACAATGACTACTTATCACTTTAATTAACTGCAAGAAATAAAACAGAATTAATCTTAACACATTTTATTTGTAATAAACCCAGATTATATTTGAGATCTTAAGCTATCTCAGAAAAGTTATTTTCAGTATAACCTACTGATTCTGCAAATAGCTGGAAAGTACTGTATTCATTACGTTTAAAAATTAACTAGCATAGCAGTTAAAATAAAAATTGAACTAAAATACTCTAGGTGGTCACATTAGAACCACATTTAAACATAAATTTAAAAAAAAAAAAAAAAAAAAAAAAGCTATAGCAGATGGCCTATCTCTTTGTCAGCTGGAGCTCAAAATGGATGGTTTGATCGCATTTCTTTTATTGTTACTGCAGAATTGCTGTATTCAAACACACCATCCTGATCTGAACATCAAAACAAATGGTTCATCTACACAAACTCTTCTAATTTCACCTGACAACCTACAGTAATTTAGTTCATTTTTAACTTTTGATTATTTTGTATAATTTTACAGTGCAAACTAGCTATCATTAAGTAACAAGCTAAAAACTAAATAAAAAATGCAACATTATAAAATATGTGCATTATGTTGCAATTAAATTTAATACTTTCTGATTATTCGCACCCCACTGAAAAGTCACAAAAAATTATTCAAGAGACACAGCAGTATGTCGCCAAAATAGTCATGTGGTAACCCATGACACCACTCAAAAGTATTCATGTGGCAACCCATGTGCACACATGGAACATCTGTTTTAGCCAATGCCCAATATGGAAGTTGTACAATGGCAAGTTTGTGCAATTCTTTGATGTTTTTTGCAGCAAAAACCGACTGCTGCGTACATGGGGAGAACAGCAGTTCAAAAACGAAGGATTTTGTGAAAACGATAAGAGTTTTATTACTAATATTTCTTGCTTTTTCAATTTTATTGATTAAATGTTCTTGTAATCTTAGTGCACTGGCATTTCAAAAATGGCTATTGCCTTTCAAGCATCAGCCTGATAAAAAAGTGGACAACGACTTTGCAACTCTTCAGTGAAGCAGAAAATCAGAAAGTACCTTTATTCTTATACATAAATTATAAAATGCTAGCTACACTCCCTGACACAGAAAATGAAAACACCATAAAGATTGTTTCCTAGGATTATGCAAATTGCAAGGACTAAGTAGTTTTATGATCTATGCATATGTTCTGAATATAAAGAAAAGTCAGATGAACATACATTTATCATTTTCTAACATCCATGGAAATCCCCTTTTCTTAAGCCATTTTCCCTTTCAGAATAAATGCCACGGCAATAAGATGCATAGAAACCGAAACTAAGGAAATTTTTGTTAAACCAACAATTTAACAAAAAGTTTAATTATAGGCCCACACACTATCTGTTGATCAGCTTTTAAGGTGTAATTGGAATCACAGAAAATTAGCAGATCCAGAGTTCAGATCTCAGCAAAGGTATTTTTGATTTCTCACATTTCCTGTTCTAAAATAAAACTCCACAATACTTTTTTCCAAAAAGGAAATTATAAGTTCCATATCTTCCCACTAATTATTCTTCCTTAATTGGATAAAAGGCCATCAGGATATTTCAAGATAGACGAAAAGACCTTCTCACCAAACTTGTCACAAGCTCCGCATCAACATCAAAGTTCCACTCTCAAGAGAGGTAGCAAAACAGAGGCTTCATAGTCTTCTTGGGTCTCTAGCAGAATAGGTGGCATGACTCATCCACTAGGCACTTCACCTATGACAATTTTCGATATTTCTCTTAGAAAGACTCACTACCTTCAGCCGGCTTCATGAATCAGATTTCCATCCCATCTCCAGGACATCAAATGTACTTGTCGAACACACATCAATAGAAGATGCCCAGCATTACCTAAAGGACTGCCAATTTACTAAGGAGTTCTGGGTTAAACAATTTCATGCCCACTTCAGAACATTCAGTATCTAAACCTTCCTTAATGAGTACTTTGCTAAAATAGATCTGGTCCTCATAGCCTGCATGATTAAAACGCAGAATTTAATGATAACAAATTAATTGTAATGAGAGAGATCCTGACAAATGAATATAAAAAGGCACAAGTCTCTTTGTACACAGCGTATACAATCTAAAAGTATTGTTGTTGTAAACATTTTTGTTTGCAATTATGTTAAATAAATAGCAAAACATCCTGAGAGAGAAAAAAATTATTGTTGGGAAACCAACCAAATTTTCCAGTCAAAAAAAGATAATTTTAAATTTTTGGTTAAGCTAATTCAATCAAATGTCTGATGCAACAACCAGGATGATCTTCCTATGCCTGTAAAGCCTTAATGATGAAGTATGTAAAAGATAATTACTATATCATATTGCAGGTGAAACACAACTGAAGAAAAGTATGCAAATAATTATAGGGGAACACATACATCTAGATGAAGTTACACTGCTTACATTGAGACATCCAAAAGCATGCAAGTGTTCCTCATACTCCACTACTGTTGACATCCAGCAGAGTATACAAAGAGCTTTGATTGATCCAATAGTACGAACAATTTCCTAAAGACTGGCCAAACACATCTTACAATCACACTATATTTGCAAAGTCAGCCTTTGAAACCAGCCCATGAACATGAAAAACTGATATCTTGCCATGTCTGAACCTATAATGAATAGTACGAGGCAGAGTTCAGTGATGAATCTCATTTCTGCTTTATTTATGATAATCACCAAGGGAGAGTCCGAAAGGGACATACAGAATACGATGTATTGTTAAAGGCCTTACTGTTCATCAGTGCAGATTATTTTGGGTGAGAGCAGTATGAATAGTAGTCATCTCTAGTTTGCGACAAAAAGATATATGGATGAGGTGCTGAAACTGATAACACTACTTACCCTCAGAGTTTGCAAAATACTATTTTCAGCTAGATAATGTGCAACCACATAAAGTGGAAACCAGCAAGCAAAACTTTCCAAGTTATACAAAAGCTTGCTTGACCACTCCAGTTTCCTCTCCAGTTAAACCTCAGGGGAACATAAAGTGGCCATCTCTTTAGTGGTCTGCCCCAGCCTTAAAAATAACATCAGCTGTAAAGATGGCAGAGAACAATTGCAATATAGTCATCATGACTCAAGACACTATTCAAACTTTGACTGAATCTGCAATAAGCAAAATTGCAGCCTGCATTGTCCAACAAGGTGATTCTGCTTTCTACTCAGCATTGCAGTGCATTACATTCTCGAAGTTAAGAACACTTGTTTTGAAATGAATCCTCCCATTTGAAGATTTATTTTTGTTATATTCTCCCCACTAATTCAGAATGTTGCAACTTCTTTGTCAGATAGTTTACATAATTTTCTGAAGATAAACATTCAGTATTTCTGACACTATATACAAATAATTCCACACTTAATAAGAATTTTGTTTATAATCTGTAATGTGGTTTAGACACTCAAATGTATATTATTTACAAATCAAATTACAAAAGCTTCCTTACAGCACGAGTTAGAGCAGACCCAGTTTCCATTGAGCCTAAACGCAGATCTCCTATACAAATGCTAATTATTTGAGCACCTGGAGCAATACCATTCTTTTCAGGTTCATCGGGAAAATAGGCAGCAGCTATGCTAGCTACATGTGTTCCATGAACAGCTAAGGAAAGAAATTAATCATGTATTACAAACTATTGCTTGACTAAAAATGATAGTGATAAAATGAATAAGTATATCTAAAAAATACATGTAACTACTCAAAAATGCACATAAAACACATACAGGCTAAATATTTGACTAACAAATTAAAAAAACATGTTGCGTGAAGGAATAACAACATACACTCAACCTCATCACCACAGAAAACTCTTCTGCTTATGGTCCAACTGGCAATTTAACAACATAAATTTATGTCTTTAAAAGGGTTTGATTATGTGTTTCTTTTTTATAATTATTTGGTTTATGTTGACAAATACAAGGGCAGCCAACAAGAGTAGAGATGCTTTCATGGAGGCATTTTTAAGAAAAATGACTCAAATTCACATTACACATGGAGAAAAACCTCAAAAACTCCCATACAGCCAAGCTTATACACCGGGACTCAAACCTAGGTTGAACTACCAGTGTTCTGGATTTTACGGCTCAGCTGCTGGCATACAATGATCATGTTTGCCTTTAAAAACAATAGTGGGTACACCTCCTAAACCTTAAGTTTGAGAACCCCTTTCAAGTGATGCACGTTTTGGTTTACCCTAAACACTTAAATAATTTTCCTTAATTCAAGGTAAGAAAATATTTTCATACATACAAGTTAACTGTTTTCACATATGTACTTTACAGTAACCCATCAGTTAAAGACATCTCCTTTATATCACTCGTGGTTATATGACTATTTCTCACATCCCAACAATAAGAATATAATAATTTATTTTATGATAATAAATCATTTTAGATTATGCACAGCCACACAGAGTGAAATGATGTATTATTTTATGACAATATAATAAATTATTTTAGGACATCATATTACAAATTATAAATTCAGGATCTTTTGCAGTGACAAGGAGACATAATAATATAATAATTTTTCAACATGCCCCTTCATACACCCTCAACTTTTAGCAGTTATCTTAACATCCAGCTTTCCTTAAGCTGAATACTCTTTAATTTAAAAAGGATGCCCCAGTTTCAAATGTTTTTCAACATCATATCTTAGAAGTTAAACAAATGAAAAAAATAATAATTTATTTTTTGTTTGTTTTTTGTAAGATGTAATGTTTAAGATGATGATGTTTTAACCTTCTTTAAAACGTGAAAGTCATTCAAGCAGCAAAAAATGATCTACTAACATTAAAAAGAAAAACTTTAGCTTAAATTTATAAGAATTAATCTTTAAATAAATCTCTAAAAAAATAAGCATTCATCAGTAAATGTTAGTATAAAAGTGCAACATACTTAAAAAAACAATCCAGAACTCGGAAGAAATTTTAGAATCAGCTTCGATTAAAAACTTCAAAGAAGCACAAACTTTTAATTTACTCTATAGCAATGGCTTAATGAAAGAAAATGCACTTGTTATGTCATTCAAGTTCAAAACTGAGGACTTCTTATAATAGGTCAAAAAACTATACAAAAAAAGCATGCATTGAAGTAGCATTTCTTAAACTTTTTTCATTCATTATCCCCTTTTTTACAATCCAGATATTTTTTCAAGACCCCAGCTATTAAGCATGAATTAAGGATATCAAAATATATATTTTTCTCATAAATAATTTGTTTGGAAATCATTACACATATGAAAAGTAGTAATTTTAGAATTTATTTCAGGTGTACAAAAATTAATGAAAGAAAGACCACATTTTAAGGAGATGGATGTGCTTGCTTTTTGCTACATAACAAACTAAATGTTCATGCAATATTTGACATTTCATACTTAAATGCACATAAAATACATACATGCTAAATATTTTATCTGACACATTTAAAATAATACTGCATAAAGGAGTACCAACATACACTTAACTTCATCATCACAGAAACTCTTCTACTTATGGCCCAAACTGGCAATGTAATTGCATTAGAAATTTGTCTTCAAGAGGGGTTGATTAACTGTTTCTTTATTATTATTTGGATTATGGTCACAAGTACAAGGACAACCAAGACGAGGGTACTTCAAATTAAGGGTATTATTTTATGAAAAATGGCTCGAATTCACATGAGGTAGAACAATGTTAGAGTTTACTAAGTGTTAAAGATGAAAAAGTTATTTTACATAAATATGTAGTGCCGAATGCCAGAAACTTATGTAGCATTCATTTAGCTAAGTGATCAACTAATGGTACATTTAATGATATTTCAGAAATTATGGGAAATTCACTTCTATCTCTGATCCAGAATTCAGTCAAGAATTTTTGCAGAAATTCAGGTTTTAAATTTGAATCACTCGACTGCTCAACCAGCTCCTCTTGGGCTTTATATAGCAGGTGATTAATCTCATTAACATCATCAAAAATGATACCTGAATGCAATGTAACTTTCTGAAATCAAAATTTGATATAGAATATTTGAAAAATATGTTTCTAGGGTTTTGAAGTTATTTTTGAAATAATTTTTGCAATGAAGTTTTGCAATTATTTTTTTCCAATTATAAAGCTGGCAACAGTCGAAAAAATTTCAAATGAATTATTTTTCACCCTATTCTTCCAAACGTTAATTTTTTTTTAATAAAACCTTCAATTTGATCACTTGAAATAAACATACTATTTTTTCCCTAAACAGACAGAGATAGTTGAATTTGTCAAAAATATCTGACATAGAGCACAGCTTTGACAGCCACAAGTTCTTTTGAAAAACAGCAACAAGATAAGACTTTACGGTACTATTCAGTTTTGCAGGGCGTAAAAAAATTGCAGCGAAAATGTATGCACAAAAGCGATAGCACGCCAAATCTAGCGTACACGCTGATTTCAGATTGTGAAAGTTTATACAGTCAAAAGTCGTTAATTTGGACACCCATAATCCGGAATAATCTATAATCCGGACCTCAAAGCTAAAAACTTTCTGTGCATGCGCCGCGTTGGCACATGCGCACAGGCATTTTACGCGTGCGCGTAAGACCTTGACTACTGTGCATATGCGTGTGCGCAAGTGCAGAATACGTTTTCGCATGCGCATTTAATGTATAACGGGCGGTGTAAGCTAAAATTATCTAATTATCTATTTCAGTTAATGTTAATGATTGCGTTGTTCCTTAATCTTCGAACTGGATCCCGCTTATTATTTTTTGCAGACTGTAAGAGCAATTTTATAAAAGTAAACTTGAACTTTCGATTATGTAAAATAGAATTTCCGATGCTGGAACTTCCAAAGGATCTACAAAACGAAAGTATGTTTCGATGTCCAACAAAAATAGATAAGGACACGAAGAATGTGACAGAGAGGTAAGTGAAAACGAAAAGTTAGTCAGTATTCTCAGTACAGCAATTAACGGGACTTGAACAGCGGAACTTTGTAACTGAACAAGAAATTATGTCTGTTTATAGAAGTAAAGAGAAAGTATTATCACATAAAATGAAGCGACTTAAACAACTTACATTGAAAGAAATGTTTAATAAAGTAAACAAATAAATATTAAGCTTTTTTTTTTTTTTTTTTTTTGTAAATTTTGATACCCTTTAGATCATAATTGTTCTTTATTTCATAAATTACGGTTTCATATTTTTAATTTTAGAATTTCTACATGCCATCTTACGAGATTTAAACTGATAATCTATAATCCGGAAAAATCGATTATCCGGAATCGCCGAAGTCCCGACGAGTCCGGATTAACGACTTTTGACTGTATAGTTCTATATTTCCTAAGACAACATTGAAATACTAGTTTAACTTTTAAATTCTGTTTTGATATCCTATGGATTTAACAATTTGGGAATTTCCAATGACCGAAAAGTTAGCAACAGAATTTTGGAATTTTGGGAAAAGTGCAGAATCACCCACTGCTTGACACGTTTTTAAGAATTGTACATACTCGGTATCCATGTACACATCGACCTATTTTCACTTGGAAAAAAAAATCCGAAAATTGTGCGAAATGGCACTGCGCACACCCATGATTTTATCTATGTACAAATCAAACTATTTTCACTTAAAAACTAAAAGAAAACTGACAACTTGTAAAATGCGGCAAACAAATAAGTGGGCAATTCTGCACTTTAACCGAGAATTTTTTCAAAAAAAAGGCATCATTCATTATAGAAAATTATGTTTGAACAACAAACGAGATGAAATTATGCTTTAGCGATAACTCGGTAGCGAAATAGCGATGCAGGCATGCATTCAGTTATGTTTAGCAATTTTTATATAAATTATAATAATGATCTGAAATAAAATAGTTATTTACTCATATTCTTCCATTCAGTCATGTTTAGCCTTTGTTATATAAATAATAATAATAAAAAAATTATATGAAATTAACCTTTCATCTAAATTAAAACATCAATCTTAGTTCTTTACTATTATGCTTCCTTTCTTGCATTAAGGTTGCCGCAATTATTTTTGGCAGCACTGGCATCAACAATAGTTTGCTGATTTTTTACGGCCCTGACTTTACTTTAATTAAAAATATCATAATTTTTGTCTTTTAAAACAATAATCATCCACATCGTAACAGAGATTTGAAAATTAATTACTATTAAGGGCAGAGCTTTATAATAAATTTTATGATTTCAACACTAATCACTAATTTCCTTTGCTAATTTTTCCCCCCTGGAAGGAACTTTTAATGTATCACGCAGTATACGAAAGTTAAATGATCACTACCAGTAGTTTTAAAAAATAATTTTAAATCAATACTTTAAATGAAAAGTATTAAAAAATTATATCTTAAACTATTACCAATGTATTAGTTGTGGAATAAATCCTAGAAACAACTAAAAGGTGAAAACATCATAAAAACAGAAAAAAAATTTGAAAACATTAACATACATAAAAAACTTACTCAAATTTACTAAAAGAAGAAAAGACTGCACACATAAAAATGTGCGATGTGAAAAACAAATGGAGCCAAAAAATAGCATTCTTACTGAAAATGTGGGAGGTTGCAAGGAACGAGTTTACCACTCAAAAGAAATCAACTATTTAGATTTCCACACTTTTAATTAC